TTTTGTATCCCTCCACATACTGCACATGACTCTTCCTTTCTAGAATATCCTCCTTCGTGTTCTCGTTTTTTAAACACCACCTTTAACAGTCGATTTCTGTCCTTGTTGTACCAGCCCAACCTGAAAACCTCAATGTTTTGTTCAGCTCCTTCCATCTGTAACCCCTTTCAATATTCCATGTACTGCCTCTCTGTCCTTGCTATTAAATTCTTGCCTATTGGATCCTTCTTGTTCTTTGATGCATACAACTACCACTGATCTTTTTCTTTCCAGCAGCTGAGTGGTGCACCTTGCTGCTTCCTGTGAGGTGGCTGCTTGCATGGCTACCTCCTTCACTGTGTCCATTGCTTCTGAGCTCTTTCTCAGTATTACCACAAATGTTTTAGGTACAGAGGCATTTCCTTCCAATGCATCATACCCACCTTCTCTTTGGATGGTAATCTGTGTGTGTATGTGTGCGTGTGTGTGTGTGCGTGTGTGTGTGTGTGTGTGTGTGTACTCACCTAGTACTCACCTAGTTGTGTTTGCGGGGGTTGAGCTCTGGCTCTTTGGTCCCGCCTCTCACCCGTCAATCAACAGGTGTACAGATTCCTGAGCCTATCGGGCTCTATCATATCTACACTTGAAACTGTGTATGGAGTCAGCCTCCACCACATCACTTCCTAATGCATTCCATTTGTCAACCACTCTGACACTAAAAAAGTTCTTTCTAATATCTCTGTGGCTCATTTGGGCACTCAGTTTCCACCTGTGTCCCCTTGTGCGTGTTCCCCTTGTGTTAAATAGACTGTCTTTATCTACCCTATCAATTCCCTTCAGAATCTTGAATGTGGTGATCATGTCCCCCCTGTATCATGTGTGTGTATGTGTGTGTGTGTGTGTGTGTGTGTGTGTGTGTGTGTGTGTGTGTGTGTGTGTGTGTGTGTGTGTGTGTGTGTACTCACCTAGTTGTACTCACCTAGTTGTGTTTGCGGGGGTTGAGCTCTGGATCTTTGGTCCCGCCTCTCAACCGTCAATCAACAGGTGTACAGATTCATGAGCCTATCGGGGTCTGTCATATCTACACTTGAAACTGTGTATGGAGTCAGCCTCCACCACATCACTTCCTAATGCATTCCATTTGTCAACCACTCTGACACTAAAAAAGTTCTTTCTAATATCTCTGTGGCTCATTTGGGCACTCAGTTTCCACCTGTGTCCCCTTGTGCGTGTTCCCCTTGTGTTAAATAGACTGTCTTTATCTACCCTATCAATCCCCTTCAGAATCTTGAATGTGGTGATCATGTCCCCCCTAACTCTTCTGTCTTCCAGCGAAGTGAGGTTTAATTCCCGTAGTCTCTCCTCGTAGCTCATACCTCTCAGCTCGGGTACTAGTCTGGTGGCAAACCTTTGAACCTTTTCCAGGTTCAAAGGTTGTGTGTGTGTGTGTGTGTGTGTGTGTGTGTGTGTGTGTGTGTGTGTGTGTGTGTGTGTGTGTGTGTATTCACCTATTTGTACTCATCTAGTTATGCTTGCAGAGGTTGAGCTCTGGCTCTTTGGTCCTGCCTCCCAATTGTAAATCAACTGGTGTACAGATTCCTGCGCCTACTGGGCTCTTCGATATCTACATTTCAAACTGTGTATGGAGTCTGCCACTACTACATTACTGCCTAATGCATTCCATCTGATAACTTCTTTGACACTGAAAAACTTCTTTCTAACGTCTCTGTGGCTCATTTGGGTACTCAATTCCCACCTGTGTCCCCCTTGTTTGCGTTCCACCCATTGTTAAACAGTTTATTCTTATCTACCAAAATTATCCTCTGAGAATTTTGTATGTAGTGATCATGTCTCCCCTTACTCTTCTGTCTTCCAGTGTAGAGTGGTGCATTTCCCGCAGCCTTTTCTCGTAACTCATGCCTCTTAGTTTTAGGACTAGCCTAGTGGCATACCTCTGAACTTTTTCCTGATTCGTCTTGTGCTTGCAGGTACGGGCTCCATGCTGGGGCCGCATTCTGCATACTCGTTCCGCATTCCGCAGAATTCGTCTTACATATGTGGTATTCAAGGTTCTGAATGATTCCTTACCCAGATTCCTGAAGGCTGTTCTGATGTTAGCCAGTCCTCAATACGCCGCAGATGTTATTCTTTTTATGTGGGCTTCAGGAGACAAGTTTGGTGTGATATAAACTCCTAGATCTTTCTCTCTGTCCGTTTCATGAAGGACTTCATCTCCCATTCGGTATCCTGAGTCTGGCCTCCTGTTTCCACTGCCCAGTTTTATTTACTAGGGTGGAACTTTAGTAGCCATTTTTTGGACCATTCATTCAGTTTGCCTAGGTCATCGTGTAGCCTCCTACTGTCTTCCTCTGTCTTGATCATCCTCATAATTTTTGTATCATCAGCAAACAATGAGAGGAACGATTGTATACCCTCTGGAAGATCATTTACATATATCAGAAACAGTATAGATCTAAGGACTGAACCCTGTGGGACTCCACTAGTGACTCCAGGCCAATTGAAATTTCACCCTTTACAGTGACTCGCTTTCCTCTGTTGCTTAGGTACTCCCATATCCAAAGGAGTACCTTCCCTTTCCCTCCTGCCTGCAACTCCAGCTTGTGCACTATTCACCTGTGAGTGTTGTCAAAGACTTTCTGGCAATAAAAATATGCAGTCTTCCCACCCCTCTCTTTCTTGTCTGATTTTTGTTGCCTTGTCGTAGAATTCAATTAATCCTGTGTGGAAGGACCTACCATCTCTGAACCCATGTTGATGTTGTGTTACAAAGATCTTTCGCTCCAGATGTTCCACTAGCTTTTATCACACAATCTTCCCCATCAGCTTGCATGGTTTGCAAGTTAGAGACACGGGCCTGTAGTTCAGTGCCTCCTGTCTATCCCCTTCTTATATATCGAGACTAAATTAGCTGTCTTCCAATTTTTTTGGAAGTTCACCTGTTACCAATAATTTGTTATACAATGTGAAGAGTGGTAGGCCCAGTGCTCCAGCTCATTCGTTTAGTATCCATTGTAAGACTCCATTTGGGTCTTTAACCTTTGTCACATCTAACTCTAGCTGAAACTTGTGTGTGTGCGTGTGTGTCTGTGTGTGTGTGTGTGTGTGTATGGGTATTCGTCTAAATGAACTGAGTAGAGCCTTTGGCTCTTTAATGCCGGCAACCGCCCCACGTGATCACTGACCTGCATGAAGCGAGTGTGGATGTGTGTCAGGTCAGTGGATAAGTCAATTGTGAAGATATAGCAAGGCAGAAATTGAATCCACAGAGTAAAGTGAGACGTACCTTCGAGTGTGAATGAATGTGAGGCAGATCTGTGCACGAATCCTGAGTGTTGGCGTGCAGCAGAACAATGAACGGGTCCTGAGTGTGAACGTGTAACAGAACAAATAACGAATTACGTGCAACAGTACAGACAAAGAGTCCACTGTGTGTGAACGGTACACAGAACAATGAACGAGTGCTCAGTGCGAATGTAATAACTGGTACGAACTCCGCAGCTTCTATTGTAATAACGTGTGCTCTACCGATCTTGTAAGATGTTAACACTCGACCGTCATACGAGGACCTAAGTAATTAATCACTATAGGCTTAGAACAGCGTAGGCAACTAATGGGAGGGGAACGTGAGAGTGAGGGAGAGCGAGTGAGGGAGGGTGGGAGAGAGCGAGGGAGAGCGAGAGCGAGTGCGGGACAGCAAGAGCGAGAGAGGAAGACTGAGTGAGTGGGAGAGAGAGCAAGATAGAAATATTAGTTGCTACACCCTTCGTATGAGTTACCAGGTAACGCTGCCACCACCCTGAGTTACCGGACAGAGGACAGGAGTGAGGAGATTCGTAGGATTTGTAAGATGTCTTATCTACCAGACCATAAAGATCCTGGCCTGTCACTCGAATAACCATGACCACTTGGGGGAACTATTAAGAACGCAGGAATAAGGCGGAACACCCCCAATATGGGAAGGAGTAATTAGTAATATCCTTAATGGATAATTAATGACACTAGGTCACTAGGGCAATTGGGACGATAGGCCCAATATCACTAAGACAAGGAACCATTAATACACACTGGAATGACATTTGACAATACATGACTTTATTTGAAACTGTTAAATAGACACTTGCCTAACTATATTCCCTAACAGAGGCAAAGAATAAATGGATGATAAAGTGCTCTAGTTCAAGAGAGCCGTACTTACTGGAATGGTGTTCTATAATTTTCCTCGAGTTCTCTCCCGGTGTCCACCCACACCAACCTCCTGGGCTACCCCTACTCTACTGTGTCCACCCACACCAACCTCCTGGGCTACCCCTACTCTACTGTGTCCACCCACACCAACCTCCTGGGCTACCCCTACTCTACTGTGTCCACCCACACCAACCTCCTGGGCTACCCCTACTCTACTGTGTCCACCCACACCAACCTCCTGGGCTACCCCTACTCTACTGTCTGGACAGTTACTGGACATGTAACAAGAGAGCATTTAACGAGTCCTGAGTGTGGACGTGTAACAGAGCAATGAACGGGTCCTGAGTGTAAACGTGCAACAGAACAATGAACAGATCCACTGTGTGAACGTGTAGCAGAGCAATGAACGGGTTCTGAGTGTAAATGTGTAACAGAACAATGAACAGGTCCTGAGAGTGAACGTGTAACAGAGCAATGAACGGGTCCTGAGAGTGAACGTGTAACAGAACAATGAACGGGTCCTGAGAGTGAACGTGTAACAGAGCAATGAACGGGTCCTGAGAGTGAACGTGCAACAGAACAATGAACGGAGCCTGAGAGTGAATGTGTAACAGAACAATGAACAGATCCACTGTGTGAATGTCTAACAGAACAGTGAACAGAGTGTGAAGGTGTAACAGAGTAATGAACGGGTCCAGAGTGTGAAGGTGGGAGAGCCCAGCACACAGGAGCAGGGGAAGAGTAGAGACAAGCAGGAGGAACACACAGTAATACTCCGCAGGAAATTAACCGTCAGAGGGTGGCCCAGCGCGTCTATGTCACTTCATAAATTCACGTCCTCTGGGGTGGTGGACCCGTCTTCTGGGGTGGAAGACCCGTCCTCTGGGGTGGAAGACCCGTCCTCTGGGGTGGTGGACCCGTCTTCTGGGGTGGAAGACCCGTCCTCTGGGGTGGTGGACCCGTCTTCTGGGGTGGAAGACCCGTCCTCTGGGGTGGTGGACCCGTCCTCTGGGGTGGAAGACCCGTCCTCTGGGGTGGAAGACCCGTCCTCTGGGGTGGTGGACCCGTCTTCTGGGGTGGAAGACCCGTCCTCTGGGGTGGTGGACCCGTCTTCTGGGGTGGAAGACCCGTCCTCTGGGGTGGTAGACCCGTCTTCTGGGGTGGAAGACCCGTCCTCTGGGGTGGTGGACCCGTCCTCTGGGGTGGAAGACCCGTACTCTGGGGTGGTGGACCCGTCTTCTGGGGTGGAAGACCCGTCCTCTGGGGTGGTGGACCCGTCTTCTGGGGTGGAAGACCCGTCCTCTGGGGTGGTGGACCCGTCTTCTGGGGTGGAAGACTCGTCCTCTGGGATGGAAGACCCGTCCTCTGAGGGGGGAGAGGACCCATCCTGCGAGGGTGGAGGACCCGTCTTCTAGAGATGGAAGACCCGTCCTCTGAGGGGGGAGAGGACCCGTCCTGCGTCCTCTGAGGGTGGAGGACCCGTCTTCTAGGGATGGAAGACCCGTCCTCTGAGGGGGGAGAGGACCCGTCCTGCGAGGGTGGAGGACCCGTCTTCTAGGGATGGAAGACCCGTCCTCTGAGGGGGGAGAGGACCCGTCCTGCGAGGGTGGAGGACCCGTCTTCTAGGGATGGAAGACCCGTCCTCTGAGGGGGGAGAGGACCCGTCCTGCGAGGGTGGAGGACCCGTCTTCTAGAGATGGAAGACCCGTCCTCTTAGAATGGAGGATCCGTATTCCATACATTGATTGCTATGTCATCCAGTGTAAGTTTGCTCGGAATTGTACTGAGCTCTCTCTCTCTCTCTCTCTCTCTCTCTCTCTCTCTCTCTCTCTCTCTCTCTCTCTCTCTCTCTCTCTCTCTCTCTCTCTCTCTCTCTCTAAAACTAGATTTCTTGATTGGGATTTCATTGATTCCTTGATGTATCAATCTAACAATTTCTTGATATATTTCAGACGGGATTGTCTAGCTGTTAAAAGATTGAGGCCAGATGCTTGGGGCTAGTCTTACTCAAATTGGCACTAAGTTTAATCTTACTCAAGTAGACCTAAGTTTATTGCTTTAAGAAATATCAACCTAAAACCCAACCCTGTCCTGTACCTAAATGAAATAAGGATGTGAGTTACCTAGAGTTACAATGCACGTTCATGCCCTACTCAATAGATGAAATGAAATCATATAGGTTACAGTGATGAAAATAATGAGTAGGGAAGATGGCTGCGGTGATGAAGGTAGTATATACAGTGAAGACAGTGTGTAAGACGAGAGGAAGGGACGAGATAGAAATAGATACATAGAGATAGAGACAGATTGATAGCAGAAGATAGACAGATAAACAGATATATTATAAATCTATAATAAGATAGAGATAAATGAAGATTGAGAGAGATATAGAGATACATATAGAGGAAAAGACTGAAATCAAAATAGTTAGAGACAGGGAAGACAGGCCAGACGGAAACAATGCTTGGGAATGGTTAACATAACAATGAAGACTATCAGGGGAATGCGCAAAGCCATTATGACTATATATCACTTGGAAAGGGTCATGATACGGATTTGGGATGGGACGGGGAAAACGAATGGTGCCCAACTACTTGGACTGTCGGGGATTGAACGCCAACTTGCACGAAGCGTGACCGTCACTCTACCGTCCTCTTCAAGTGGCGATGCTGGGTTACTGCACCTAGTAGTTTATACCTAGAGTGGTACCTGGTGGAACCCAGAACACTCTCTCTCTCATACCTAAAACCCCATTCCACCTTTGAGCTTTGATGTCCAAAGAGCTTGGAAAGGATGTGGGAGGAAGAAGGATGGGGCGATGATATTCTTGGAAGAGGATTTGGATGTTGAGAGAGGAGGCGTGAGCTGTTGAAGTATCCGAGCGTGAGCTTTGGTACTGGGGTTCCTTCTGGGTCTTCGGCAGCGGTAGAGAAGTCGATTAGCTTCATCCCCTCTTCCTCGTAGATTGGGTCGAGGTGGTTTATGTTCAGGATGGAGAGGACGATGTATCGCTCCACTGTGGCATAGTGGACGAACATAAAGTGGGGAAGTTGGGTTTTATTCCTGCCGGTGATGCGCCTGTTGCATTCTATGGCCAAGTTTTTTTCTAGTACTGCTGTTGCCATTGAAGACTATATACTGGTCGATAAAGAGGCAGTAACAAGGTTTGCTTCTGTCTGGTATGCCTGGTATGACTGAGGGTGTTGGTATGCCTGGTATGACTGAGGGTGTTGGTATGCCTGGTATGACTGAGGGTGTTGGTATGCCTGGTATGACTGAGGGTGTTGGGTGGATGTAGGTGACTTCCAGCTCTTCAAGGTCTTCCATTTCAGTGTCTGGTGCAGATGTTTGCTGCGGTGCTGCTGTAGCCGGGGTCCGTTCCATCTCTCTTCTTTTCCCATCTCACCACATCCCTCCCCCTCTTTACCCCATCGTCCTTCCCTTATCCTCCTGTTCCTCTTCCTTCCATCGCCCACGCCCCTCTCCACCCATATCTTCTCTCCCCTCGCCTTCGTATCCTTTCCACTTCAATCTCAATAATTCATTTCCATTTATTTACATAGAATGGATACCCAGCTGCACCCGGGTCTCTTCCTCTTTTCTCACTTTTCTCCTTTTCTCCACTCTTCATCCCATCTCTTCCTGTATCCTCCCTCGCCCGCATCCTATACCCCTCTTCGTCTCAACTCCCTCATGTCCCCCCTCTTCCACCCCCATCGTTCCTCTCCCTAGTTATACCTTTTTACATTTCCCCCGACCATTTCCCCTTACAAATTTGGGTAAGGCTTGTTCCAGGCGCCTGGCTTCCAATACTGGACAATGACACACATTCTGGCAGATATTTTCCTCATTATATGCAGCAATATTTTAGAGACAATGTGCAAACATTGAGGTCACATGCTTGAGGCCAGCCTTATCCAACTTTGCAGGGAAAATGATCTGGGGTACGGGATTGACATAGGCTGACCGGGGTAGACTTAAGTTAAATGATATAGGATATATTATTAATTATTCCTTCATCTCATAATTCTTCATATATTATTATTTAAATATTCATTCAAAAAATGATTGGAAAGGATGAAGGGAGGGGGGGGGAGGGGGAGAATGGTTGGGGAGGACGATGGGAGGAGGGGAAAAGGTACTTAAAAGTAACGTGTTTTAATTGTTATACAGGATTGTATGTTCAATGAGCGATTCACAGTCCTGGGCAATGCCGGTTACTCCCCCTCCCTAGTAGTAGTAGTAGTAGTAGTAGTAGTAGTAGTAGTAGTAGTAGTAGTAGAAGCCATCCATTAGTCTCAGGAGACTATGATGTTGCGCTCTGATTGTCGGTCAGGAGTGGCTTCTCCAAGACGTAAAGCCAGGGTAGGTTGATATGGAGGAGAAGCTGTTACTCAGGCAGCAGATCCCCACTCTCTCCACGGCGCTGAAAGTCTCCAATGGAAAGGCAAACGCCAATACGATTGGTTCCAGCGCCGTCGCAGGAACTGTGAGTTCCGGGGTTGACCTCGAAGTTGGTGAGGCCCCCCCCCCCACAGTATACATATGTATATTAGCAAGGTGTCACATAACCTGTGACTTTACAAATGCAAGAAACAACTGAACAAATGAGCTAAGAGCTTTTTTATCTTTTGTGTACGTCGTCAGAGTCTAATCATAGGAACAGAAGAGATATACAAGCTTAAGGTAGACAAAAAAGCATATAAGTGTCAATTAGCCCAAATGTACAAATAAATATATTGAAGCAATGATCGAAATCATTCATAAAACAGACCACAACATATTACTCTAGCCAGTATTTAAAGATATGAACCAATACATTTGGAAGCTATCTAGAAAATGAACACTTGAGAACAATTATGCACACTGTCGGAACTATACTACCAACAAAAGGACTTAAGGAAAACTAAGAAGACTTGACACAGCCATAGCTCTCAACAGCAGTCAAAGACAAAACCCGCTGTAACCCCTCCACCCCCCCATAATCACAGACCAATATCAAACCCAATAACACATCAACCCCATGACAGCTAATTTACGCCACCATCGAGCACCACACTTCACCACGATCCAACTCAACACCCTGTAGTAGGTATTCATCAATCCTGTGGGGTTATGGAGTTGTGCCTTGGGGACTAGTTGTTGTAGTCTAGTTGGATGCAGCGCCTGCTGTGGCTGTGAAAGCCAACCCGAGAATGACAGTCCCGACTGCAGCGAGCGCAGATAAACGCCGAAGTGGGTGCGTCTGACAGTGGTCGAGACCACCTCTGAAGTCTTTTATCCTCCGCCTGTCTCTTCAGTTCATCCTCGAGTTGCTGGAGTCCCTTCTGCACTTTGCATCTCCAGACAGATCTGTCCACCGCTGCTGCCTCCCAAGTGTTGATGTCAATGTTCATATGCTTGAGGTCGCGTTTGCAGGCGTCTTTGAAACGCTGCTGAGGTCTTTCGGTGGATCTCCTTCCTGATGCCATTTCACCATAAGAACATAAGAACAAAGGCAACTGCAGAAGGCCTATTGGCCCATACGAGGCAGCTCCTATTTATAACCACCCAATCCCACTCATATACTTGTCCAACCCGCGCTTGAAACAATCGAGGGACCGCACCTCCAGCACGTTACGCGGTAATTGGTTCCACAAATCAACAACCCTGTTACTGAACCAGTATTTACCCAAGTCTTTCCTAAATCTAAACTTATCCAATTTATACCCATTGTTTCGTGTTCTGTCTTGTGTTGATACTTTTAATACCCTATTAATATCCCCTTTGTTATGTCCATTCACCCACTTGTAAACCTCTATCATGTCACCCCTAACTCTTCGCCTTTCCAGTGAATGCAACTTAAGCTTTGGTAATCTTTCTTCATATGAAAGATTTCTAATTTGGGGAATTAACTTAGTCATCCTACGCTGGACACGTTCAAGTGAATTTATATCCATTCTATAATATGGCGACCAAAACGGAACTACATAATCTAAATGGGGCCTAACTAGAGCAAGATATAACTTGAGAACCACACCAGGTGTCTTGTTACTAACGCTGCGATTAATAAATCCAAGTGTCCGATTTGCCTTATTACGAACCAATTTTGGCCAAGATCTTGAAGAGTCCTTCCATGCTCAGGAATTCGAAGGCCTTTGTAAGGTCAATGAAGGCGATGTGGAAGGCTTCTCTGCTCCCTGCACTTTTCTTGAAGCTGTCTCAGGGAGAACACCATGTCAGTGGTCGACTTCTCTGCTCGGAAACCACACTGTGACTCAGGGTACACTCTTTCAGCAAGAAGCTGAAGCTTGACCACGACTACCCTGGGCGAAGAGTTTGCTGACGACGCTGAAGAGGGATATGCCGCGATAATTGTTGACATCGTGGTATCTTTGAGATATGTGTGCGTCTCTCGTGTCTTGTGGCACCGAGC